CTCTATAAGGATGAAAGGCCATTATCACATGAGARCAATGTGCAATATGATTGTTGTGTGTGCATTTCACGTCAGGTTTTTTGAAAGTGGAATCCACAAACACTATTGAATGTTACTTTTTGGCAATGCTTATCATCAAGTGATTTCTTTTTTGTAGGGGAAGGGCAATCAAGCTACGTCAAAAAGATAATGAGGCAGTTGGTGGGTTTTTCTCACAGATTGGTGAATTATATATGGTGCATCATATATGGGGTATGTATACTGTAGTCKTGTGAAAGCTTGCATTTGGCTTGAATTTTGAAATGAGGCAGAAAGAGTTATAAATGGGAAAGTAATTGTAATTATCATAATTATAATTATGTAATGATAATTACAGTAAAAAAATATAATTATTAATAATTTCAATGACTTGTGAAAAGTAAGCCTATGTGTTTTCCCCACTTCGCTGCTGCRATTTCTGAGCTTGTTTACTGGTCTGATAGTATSGATGAGATACAAACACMAATGATATGGAGTGAATGGCAATGAGGAATTAACACGCAATCCGCGTTTAATAATAAACGTAATCGTTGAATATTGARATAAGATTAACTATAAGATAGAATAAGGTAGAAAGGCTCCATCGTATTAACCAAAKAGGACAGGCAAGRTGAGGAGGAGGGTGTTGCAAASGGAATTGGTGTTCACTGTGCCAATGTASCAATGAATGCTGAAGCATGAATGTACGGTAGGATAAAATCGCTGCTCCCTATTCCAACACGTGCCTGAAAGTGATTTGGAGCATGAATGAGGAGATGATTTTAAAATCAATTCATTTTTCTTAGCRTACAAAGATCTTGTTAAAAGGAAAGAAATCCGTGAGAACTTGTGGAACTATGCTGGGTGGGATGATTGTGTAGCAAACACAGGTATTTATTGGTGTTTTTTTTTGTTGTACCGCTACATCTATTGAAGTGCAACTTGTCTTCCATATGGTGTTTTATGACAATTATTGCTAATATGATTTGAAATAAAAGTATTACTTGGGCTATTCAGCTTACTTAACAGTGCAATGGTTTTCCGAGTACGTTTCGTTGCCATTTTTAACTTGGTCAGCTGTATGAATATTAATATTATGTTTTTGTTGCTCTTGACTGCCTTTATGSTTAATACTCCTAAAGAGGAATAGTAATGAAGTATTGAGAAAGAATGCCAAGGCAAAATTTGGGTGGATGGTAAGAATTGAATAGGTGCGAGAAGAAAAAGTAAAAGATACGATAAAATAGTTCTGGCATAATATAGTAAGGGTGCTAAAAAACGAACTTTTGTTATTGATATTATCATTGCTCTTCATTTTCAGTGCCTCTCATACGCCGTATGGAGTCCCGTGTGATGGTACCATTACCTTTTTCGCCTACAAAATAATATTTGTGAATAGTTSTAAAGGAAAAGAAACTCGTGAAGATGAAGTAACGTATTTAGAAATCTTGAATATTTTAAATTTTTCTGGTTGTAGTGCACTTTTTTGATCTCGTKAAAAGAAATGGTAAACAAATGTAATAATGAATAAAGTACTGTCTTAGTAGTACTGTACATTATCACTGTGTGCTGTTGATCACAGCGAGTGAGTTTTAGTGAAGTTCGGGTCCACTTTTGACTGAGACTGTCAAACCGCAACTTGAAAACCGCAGTTTGCTGTTGCTCTAAACATCACATTACCCTTTCTGGAAAGTTGGCTACTGTTTTCACTCGGGCTATTCCATATAGATAAGAATTATCATATTAGATAAGAATGAACATGAATATGCTACCAGCGCTATTCAGCTTAAGTGCAATAATCAACTTGTTATAAAACATGCACACAAAAATCTTCTCATATTTGATAGAGAGTCCTGTCTATTAAGTATGATTTTCTCAAATCTATACGAAAATCATATATTTATAGAGAGATGTGAAAAAACGTCTTTACAACTTTTGCTGTCTTTGGAAAAAAATAGAATGAGYCTTGGACATGACACCTTTTAGACACTTTTATCGGAAAGTTTACACGCTGCCAAGTACTCTGTGAAGAAAGAAATACATTTTGAATTTTGTTTTCTGAGTTATAGACATTTGAAAATTGAAACTGCAAATGAAGTGACGTCAACCAAGGAATTGATCCAGAGACTTTTTACATTGTTTGCGCTATGCTGTTCTTGGTTAAAGAGCTCAAATCATCAGTCATAGTAATAATTGAGAGCTGAAAATGCTTTTTCCAGTGTAACAAAAAGAATAATGTCCTATTTAATGATTTTGTATATGAAATCATTCCTAGTAGACGTCACTTCATTTGCATTTTCTAAGTTTTAATTGCCCATAACTTAGAAAATACAATTTAAAATCAATTTCTTTATTCACAGATGTACTTAGCAGCATTTTCTCTTTTGGATGAGAATGAAATTATAATGGTGTCATGTGTACTTTTATTTGTAATATCCGCTGTTGATGGATGAACTTGTCCATGACGGAGYCTATGGTGAAATCACTCAGTGGTGCCTATACCCGTATGCTGAGGAAAGMCCTRAATGTGCACTGGAGCTCCCGCACTACTAATGATGAAGTGTACGGAGAGTTACCAAGGCTGGATGTGAAGATTGCTGAGCGCAGACTACGTCTGGCAGGACACTGCTACCGCCACCCTGGACTAAGCACCCAAATATTGATCCTGTGGGAACCAACTCACGGAAGGCGGTCCAGAGGAAGACCTGAATCGAATTATGTAGAGACCCTCAAGTGCGACACAGGGGCAATCAGCTCACACGAGCTGGCTACGTTGATGGAAGACAGGGTCGTTTGGAGTGCCATTGTCAAATCTCGGAGTCATCCGCCTAACTAACTAACTAACTAACTAATGGATGAACTTGGACGTTGGGTCGTTTGCCCAATTTCAAGTCATAAGTTAAATGTATGCCGCGACAGGTAGCCGAAGCTAAATAATAGTGTCGGTTTTATGTGGTATACCATGTATTTATCATATAATAATGTATGAAATACCTATGTTTCTGTATTTCGAAAAGTTGTTATTTTCACCAGATTCTGTATTTCGAAAAGTTTTTATTTTCACCAGAGAAACACGTTAGAGCTTTGATAGAGCTTTCTATATTGGAAGTAACTGGAAAAGGTATTCCACGACACAATTTGCTTTCAAATGTAATTGTACGATGAAGATAATGGACGATTGGAGATAGCAATGTTATATTGTCGTGTTGAAAATGTTGGCAACGCTCACTGGTTAGAGGTCTTTTGAACAGTCAAAGATAAAATCCGTATCTCCGCGCGCGCATGTGACATCCTAATTTTAAGGCCTAGAGCCCGAAAGGGCCCAATACAATGAGGGAGAGTTGACGTGCCTTTGGTCGTCCATGGACGTATGGAGCGGTGCAGCACGTTTGAAATGTGTGTTTTGTAGCGGAAAAGAGGTAGTGGAACCTTCCTCGATCGTTGTGCTAGTTAGGACNAGACGTCAATATCAGAAAAGCACTAGCCTGGAAAGCCCTCAACGACATGACCAACATCTGGAAGTCCACTATGAACCCAGTTTTGAAAAAACGATTCTTTGTTGCCACAGTCGAGTCAATCTTGCTGTATGGATGTGAAAGCTGGTCCATGACGGAGTCTATGGTGAAATCACTCAGTGGTGCCTATACCCGTATGCTGAGGAAAGCCCTGAATGTGCACTGGAGCTCCCGCACTACTAATGATGAAGTGTACGGAGAGTTACCAAGGCTGGATGTGAAGATTGCTGAGCGCAGACTACGTCTGGCAGGACACTGCTACCGCCACCCTGAACTAAGCACCCAAAAATTGATCCTGTGGGAACCAACTCACGGAACGCGGTCCAGAGGAAGACCTCAATCGAATTATGTAGACACCCTCAAGCGCGACACAGGGGCAATCAGCTCACTAACTAACTAACTAACTAATGGATGAACTTGGACGTTGGGTCGTTTGCCCAATTTCAAGTCATAAGTTAAATGTATGCCGCGACAGGTAGCCGAAGCTAAGTAATTGTGTCGGTTTTATGTGGTATACCATGTATTTATCATATAATAATGTATGAAATACCTATGTTTCTGTATTTCGAAAAGTTGTTATTTTCACCAGAGAAACACGTTAGAGCTTTGATAGAGCTTTCTATATTGGAAGTAACTGGAAAAGGTATTCCACGACATAATTTGCTTTCAAATGTAATTGTGCGATGAAGATAATGGACGATTGGAGATAGCAATGTTATATTGTCGTGTTGAAAATGTCCCACTCGCTGGCAACGCTCACTGGTTAGAGGTCTTTTGAACAGTCAAAGATAAAATCCGTATCTCCGCGCGCGCATGTGACATCCTAATTTTAAGGCCTAAAGGGCCCAATACAATGAGGGAGAGTTGACGTGGCTTTCGTTATTGTTTTGGATTCTCTACTTATATCTTGGCGGCGGGCTCTTTTCCTTTTATTGTCTTCTCTCCTTTCAGTGTCTATGGTTTTGCTTATGTCCTGCACACACTTTCGCCAAATTTTCCTCTCCATAACATCGTCCATGGACGTATGGAGCGGTGCAGCACGTTTGAAATGTGTGTTTTGTAGCGGAAAAGAGGTAGTGGAACCTTCCTCGATCGTTGTGCTAGTTAGGACWGAGTATGTCTATCATCCTTCAGGTAATCGTCGGCTAACCATGAMGTCTGAACTGCTGGTGAGTATGTCTTTGTTGAACATAATATCATAAACCTATAGGGGACTTGAAAGGTGTAGCGGCCATGCATTTCTTTAGTAGCAAGAGTCTGAATATTCCAAGCTCATTCAAAATTCGAAAAGGAACGTAATGACCATATTTGGAATATGCTSCAGTGMATAAGAGATATAAGGCCCGTTGTGGTTGGCTAGGGTAAATTGAATTGTTCCAAATAAGGACTGAAGGATATGCAAATTAGATTAGAATGTTCCAGCGGATGGGACGGAGTTACACGTTCCAAGTCCCTGATAATATGGAATATATGTGTCTTTATGAAACCTTTGATTCTTACCTGAAATGATAATAAGTTGCCTTGAAACWTTCATGCTACGTTTGCATAGCTGTCAACCCTCACTGATTATCCGGGAGTTTCCAGAATTTTAACCTCGTCTGCCGGTCTCCCGGATAAAAGGTTGAAATCTCCCGGATAATCGTGAAACTTGTAAAAATATGGTATGTACCAATATGACCGCTTATAATAAAAAACAATTTATTGAATAATGATTTTATACTTATAAGTACGTATAATTTTCTTTGTTCAATATATGGAAAATGTAGCTGCTTCCTGTCCATTCAGCCCCCTCTTTGTGCCGTTACGTCACGTACTAACGTAGTTCACCACAGGAAGCCCAAATMATGATTTCACGATTTCACAAATCAGAGTCGGGGGGGGTTGACAGGTATGTTTTTTTTTAATATAAGACCATACCATCTTGCTGAGTTTCAGCCAATTTTGTAGAGTTGGAAAATAGGTTTTCCCCACCACAAATAAGAAGAGAGAAAGGTTGGAGGCGAATGCTTTCCACGGGATTTGTCACAGGTATTCCATCCCAAGATGTGCAGTTGTTGTTTTTTATCAATCTGCGAAATACAAAAATTTCAATAAAGATAAAGGGAGTGATTTAATCAGATTTATAGCTATTTCTWAAAATAACACTTATACCATGTTTGGGATTCCTGTGATTGCAGATTTGAATATGCCTTAGGGTCGTTAATTTATGCAACGCATTGTGAATTTAAGTGAGAACCGTTGTTCCCACATCGGTTTAGCCTAAATTCACCCAAAAACTGTTTATAAGTGTTTCTTGGAGCTTTTTGCTGCCACAGGAGCCCCTAAACTTGCATCATTAAGCTTGATTAGGTGGTAGAGACAATCTTCTGGAAGAAGTCAGAGGTGGAAAGCGATTTTTCGAAGACAATGGCGCCAAGTGACGGTTTGATTTGAAGTGGTGACATTAGAGTAAAATCGCTTTCCTGGTCCGTCTGTGGCAGATTTTCGAACCTACCAAGGTAATTTTGGCAATATTTGATATCCAAAGAATGCAATGGGTGCAATATTTTGCCTGTAGGTTCGGAGGAGCTGACACTTATAAAAATATTTTTAATACAAAGATGCTACAGGACTTATGTCGAAATTTCATAGCTTCCCATGATGCATTTCGGGCGTGTATGCAGGTTTGTTTGTTGTACGTTGTCCTGAAAAGAGCGCTCTTTGAACGGTCTGCATTGCATACGCCGAAATGGATATTCTAAGGAACGGGAGTGAAAAGGATGTGGATATTTTCCTGATAGCAATTGGAATGGGAAATAGTGTTTATAGCTTCGTTCGTCCAAGAGTCTGCAATTTCTGTTCTTCTAAATTACTGTTGTACAGGTTTCTTAAGCTCCACAAGGCGTACAACAAACAGCCATGACGGTCGTGTGTGTAGTAGAGWAGTCTCCAGCGGCGATACCCGACCCGCGAGCGAGCGCGCAATCAGCACGTGTTTTTACAGCGCGAGTGAGTATAGAGTAGTGTATATATTTCTTTTGTCTGCCATGTCGGGGACGAGCGCGAACGCAGGTCCCCACTACCAGA